ATTTCAATGGGAACACTATTGGCTTATTATCTATTTCCTCCTCCTCTTACTCCAAAGCTATATCCCAGGGGTTTTTCTTGTTTTGTTTTTAAGGTTGAAGACAGCTTACATCTCCTTATTTTGGAGAAATTGCTGACATTTTCAGGAAGTGCAGAGATCTGGTTTAAAATTACTGAAATTATTTTACAACTTGCTGTTTGAAGACCTTAGACCAGGGGTCGGCAACCTTCGGCACGCAGCCCATCAGGGTAATCTGATGGTGGGCTGCGAGACATTTTGTTTCCATTGGCCGTCCACAGGTGCGGCTTCCTGCAGCTCCCATTGGCCGGGAAGGCGAATCGTGGCCACTGGGAGCTGCAGGAGGCCGTGCCTGTGGACGGCCAATGGAAACAAAATGTCTCGCAGCCCACCATCAGATTACCCTGATGGGCTGCGTGCCGAAGGTTGCCGACCCCTGGTCTAAGGTCTTCAAACAGCAAGTTGTAAAATAATTTCAGTAATTTTAAACCAGATCTCTGCACTTCCTGAAAATGTCAGCAATTTCTCCAAAATAAGGAGATGTAAGCTGTCTTCAACCTTAAAAACAAAACAAGAAAAACCCCTGGGATATAGCTTTGGAGTAAGAGGAGGAGGAAATAGATAATAAGCCAATAGTGTTCCCATTGAAATTAACAGCTAAACTCCTGTTGACTTCAGTGGGAGCAGGCTTAGCCTTAAGTCAGCATCCCCCAACTTGAACAATATTTCAACCAAATACTGTAGTACTAATTGTGTTAAATTTTCTTTTTTCCTTTTTTGGAATCTATGTAACAGCAGACAGAAATGCAACTATGCTGGACTCTGTTATCATGATGGTATGTTTTACAGCAAAGACATCAGTGCATTCTATCTCAAAAACTGAGGCCAAATGTGAGCTAAACTGGCATGGGACAAAATTTACTCATTCCGTAAATCCCCTACACCTAGGTGTTACTCTCAACCGGACACCCTCCTTTGGAGCCCACATTGAGAAAACTAAACCCAAGGTTCGCATATGACACAACATTCTTGGCAAGCTTGTTACATCAAAGTAGGGTCCACTTTACGATCATCACCACTGGCACTTTGCTACTCCATTCCTGAATATATCTGTGCAGTGTGGGCAGAATCCCTTTCATGGAAGAAGCTAGAACCTGTATTTACCACTGCCTGCCTCTATATTACAGGATGTCTTAAGCCTACTCATGTCAACAGCCTCTACATCCTCACAGGTATTGCTCCTCCTGATATATGTGGGGAAGTTGCTAGTACAGTAGCACACAAAGCCTTGCACAGATCCACGACATCCGCTATATGATATAACATCAACCTGAATCAACTGAAGTCGCACCGTTAAACCGCTGACATTGTCACCCAAATAGACAAGGGTTCAGTTATTGAAAACGAGTAGAGAACGGCCTGTGCACACCGACTCCTACCAGTCGATCACCTACCCGATGCAGATCAACCCTGGACTTTATGGCACTGCCATAATGGATTCCCCACTCAAGTTGGCCAGTCTGGAGATGCAATGATCAAGTGGGTCTTTATCAGTGGCCCCAATATCAGTGACTGTGGCAGAGAGCCTCAAAATATGAAGTATCTCCTGGCATGCCACCTGTTTGAGCATGAATGATCTTCATGTGACTTGGTGGAGTGCAATGATCGAGCAATCACGTGCATGGATATGCCAGGAAGCAGTGTAAGGACACGGCAAAAAGATGTGATTTTTACATCTAAAAAATCACTGTAATAACAGAAGAGGACCTACTTGGGAAAAGCTCCCCTTCTCTTCACCCAAGGGATTGTTTTCAAACCTCTGATCATGACCTAAAGTAGCAGAGACACTAACTGCTGTGAAGGAGCTCTCTGGAAGTTTATATCTTCACTTTTATCAGGAGGCAGGACCAGAACCTGGAATTCCTTCATGCTACTTCGTCCTTTGCTCATTATCCGCAGAGGAGAATAGAGCTGATGATTTCGTATCCTGCTTCCGTCTTTGCCTTTATCCATTGTGCCTCTTATACGCTTTGTGCTACCATGCTTTCTTGATTAGCATCTTTTCTAAATACTCATTGACTTTGCAGTGCCCAAAAGAAGCAAGTTAAGAATTAAAAAAAAAATTATTCCCCCCAAGTTATTCCTGCCTGCTGGGTTTCTTAGTGAGTTCTATATTCTCTTTATCTGTTGTTTACATTGTAAACTGTTTGAGGAGGGGACTTTTGTTACTATTGTATGCCAGGTGCTCAACTGGGGTAGCTGCTAATCTGGCCATGTCTGTTACAAATCCAAGCACCTCAGTGGTTAACAAATAAATAGTAATGGTTCCCTTGGAATGCCGGGTTGATTACAGTTGTAGCATTTTGAACCAGAATATGGTAGCAAGAAATGTCAGTCTTAGGAGGAAAAAAGCAACTAAAATGCACTGGAGTGAGATGGAACATTTACTAGTTCATTTTACATGGGGTTCCAATCTAAGCATGTTTACTGAGCGGATTATATTGTATATGAATATGTCTCTGTTTCAGCCTTGTGAGAGTAAAAACAGAAACTACATTTACTTAATGCAGAAAATTTATCAAACTTACTACTATCTTACAAAAAGTTTACCTGTTGCATAGGTTTCAGTAGCTTCTCAGAAATATCTGAGTTTCAAATGTCTACTTAGTAGTACAATTTTTCCATGATTTTGGTCAGTGATGTCATTTCCCAGTGTAGTGATGTCATTTGTAGATAGACATTTAATAAGATTCTTGAACTCCAGTCCTGCAGAATGTTCCCAAATAGTTTATTGCAATCCTCCAAAGAGACCTTGTTGCTGCTTTTTAAATGCTGAGTGTAAATTGACTGGTATATTTCTTGTGTTTCAGATGGAGCAATTATCAGATGAAGAACTTGATCATGGTGCAGAAGAAGATAGTGATAAGGAAGACCAAGATCTGGACAAGATGTTTGGACAATGGCTTGGGGAGCTGGACAAACTCACACAGGTCAGGGACGCTTTTGAATACAAGGGTCAAATATTTCAATAAGTAATTGGCACCAATGTTACATATTAATTTTTAATGTCTCGATATGTTCTTAGAGTATGTGTCAACGTGAATCCCACTATAGGGAGCACATGCACCTCATGTGCATGAGATTGGAGTCTTTAGAAAAGTGGTGTCTGTTGGGTTTGCACATGTGCTCTGAGTCTCTTTATGCTCCTGTGCGAGGACATAAAGGGCAGAGTGGCTGCAACCCGCCCTTAGTTCTCTTACCATCCACTGCAGCAAGACTGCACCTAGTGAGTGTCCAACCCTTTATTCTACTTACAGACTTTGAAACTGGTTGTTCAACCAGCTGTGTGGAGAAATCTTCATATTGGTATTCCAAAGAGAAGAAGCAACCCATTCACTCAAGGGCCACGCTGTGGCCCCTGGGAATCTACACACTGGCCGCCTCTAGGAAACCACAAAAGTACCAGCAGAGGCAGAGGACACTGAACTATTCTCAGAGTCCACAGCTGGAGTTACCCACAAAGAAAGAGATCCAGGGGATGCTTCTCTCTCCCTTTAGGCAACCCAGATTCCTCTCAGAGATGGCAGATTCGATAGCTCATGTGACTCTTGAGACTCCCAATCTGGAGCCTGCCCTCACCTTCGGGAAGCCCTTTCCACCAGGCCTGAGCAGCTTTTCACAGCCAACAAATATGCATAAGGGCCCAAGACAACCCTATACATTTCCACTCCTTAAACACTACCCACCTCCCTTCCCTATCCCTTTTCAGGGACTCTCCTCATGAGAGCCTGTTACAGACAGAAGTGGCCTCGTTACTTCATCGAGGAACCATAGAAGAGGTAAATGTGGAGGACAGGGAAGGAGGCTTCTTCTGTTCCAATTATTTCCTTATCCCGAAGAAAAAAGGAGATCTTTGTCCTATCCTAGACCTGACAAGACTGAACAAATACATCAATCTGCTTCAGATTCAGAATGCTGGTAATGGTTGCCTTCATCATCCTATCGCCTCAGACTCAAGACTGGTGTGTGCCTCTGAACTTGTAGGATGCATACTTCCATATCGCTATCCACCCGGCTACAGGAAGTACCTAAGATTCAGAGTGGGGCCCAATCATTATCATTCAGAGTCTCCACAAAGTACCTAGAGGTAGTAGCGACACATCTTAGAAGGAAGGTCATTCATGTTTACCCTTACCTGGACAATTGGCTGAACAAGGGCAGATCTCACCAGGAAACAGCAGCACGTTTGTAATATGTCCTCTCCCTGTTCTCTCAGCTAGGCCTTCTGGTGAACTCCAAAAAAAAAAATAAAAAAATAAAAGGTTCTTATCCCATCACAGCTAATAGAGTTCATAGGAGCCTTGATCAACTTCTGTTTAGTGAGAGTGTACCTTCCCAAAGTCAGGGTTCTTGTTGATGCAGTCACTATTAATTCAGATAGACTCAAACCCAGCTACAATGGGCCAAGGATGTCTGGGACTGCTGGGCTATATGTCATTGTGCACATTCCTGACTTTACTTGCCAGACTTCACCTGAGGCCTCTTCAACTCTAGCTCAGGTCGGTCTATACCCCAGATAAACACCAAATGAGCAAGAAGCGGTGGTTACACTTCACATCATTGCAGAAGCGAAGTGGTGGAACCCAAAAACATGCGTGGAGGGCTACCATTCTCTTCTGCCTCCCCAACAATGATTTTAATCACAGATCAGGGATAAGTGGGGTGCCCACCTGGACCATCAACAAATGCAAGGCACGTCAGTGTCCTGGGGCTCAGAGCCATCATGTTAGCCTGCACATCCTTCCTACCCGTTCGTCAAAGCTCCACAGTGCAGCTCTTGACAAACAATACGTCTGCAATGGACTATGTAAACAAAGTAGTACACACTCTTCTCCCTGCTGTCTATAGGCAATCAAGCTCTGGATACGGTGCTACCAACAGCAGTTAATTCCACTAGCTCTTCACCTCCCAGGAGTCAGCAACACTCTGGCAAATGTCTGAGGAGACTGTGTTACCACTCACGAGTGGTCACTGTGGAGATCCATCATGGATGAGATGTTCCTTCATTGGGGACCCTGTGATACTTGTTTGCCACCAATGTCAGGTACCAGAACTTTTGTTTCAGAGGAGGTATGAGCTTGAAATTGTTACCAAATGCCTTCCTTCTTTAGTGGTCCCAAAGCCTTCTCAATGCCTTTCCACTGGTTTCCTCTGATCTTTATGATAGTATCCAAAATAAAACAAGACAAAGCAATGATCATTCTCATGACTGCCTACTGGCAGAGGAAGTTTGGTTGACAGGCCTTCTACAAATGTTCAGTCATCTGCCTGTCCAGCTCTCAGGTTGCTTGGATCTGATCTCACAGTATCTCTTGGCAGATACTCTCTGACTCAGTCCCTGCTTGCATGGCTTTGGGCTGACTGAAAACTGCAGACAGAGACTGCTCCCTCGGGGTCCAAGAGTTCCTGATACAGAGCAAGACAACGTTGACCAGAAAGACTTCCTCATCTAAATAGAAGAGGGTTTCGGTATGAGCAGCCAAATATGGTCTGGACTCAGTCCAGGCATTGATACTGAAGATGCTCTACAACTTAAAACAAGCTGGCATTTTGTTCACCTCTATCCAGGTCCACCTCACAGCAATTTCATCTTGCCATCTGCCTGTATGGTTGTGCTCAGTCTTTTATGTGCTGTTCTACATATTTTATAAATGATCTGAAAAAGGGGGTAAACAGTGAGGTGGCAATGTTTGCAGATGCTACTAAATTACACATGATAGTTAAGTCCAAAACTGACTGCGAAGAGTTACATAGGGATCTCACGAAACTGGGTGACTGGACAACAAAATAGGAGATGAAATTAATCTTTGATAGTACAAAGTAATGCACATTGGAAAAAATAATCCCAACTGTACATACAAAATGATGTAGTCTAAATTAGCTGTTACCACTCAAGAAGGAGATCCTGGAGTCATCCTGGGTAGTTCTCTGAAAATGTGCAGCGGCAGTCAAAAAAAAAAAGCTAACAATGTTAGGAACCATTAGGAAAGTGAGAGATAAGATGATGGAAAATGTCGTCATGCCACAATGTAAATCTATGGTATGCCCACACCTTGAGTAATGGTGCAGTTCTGGTAACCTCATCTCAAAATTAGAATTGGAAAAGGTACAGAGAAGGACAACAAAAATGATTAGGGATATGGTATAGCTTCCATATGAGGAGAGATTATAAAAAGGCTGGAACTGTTCATCTTAAAGAGACGACTAAGGGGGATTATGACAAAGGTTTATAAAATCATGAATGGTGGGGAGAAAGTGAATAGAGAAGTGTTTTTTCCCCTTCACATAACACAAGAACCAGGGGTCATGAATGAAATTACTAGGCAGTAGGTTTAAAACAAACAAAAGGAAGTACTTCTTCACAAAACACACAATCAACCTGTGGAACTCTTTGCTGGGGATGTTGTGAAGGCCAAAAGTATAACTGGGTTTTAAAAAGAATTAGAAATGTTCGTGGAGGATAGGTCCACCAGTGGCTATTAACCAAGATGGTGAGGGACACCTCCCCATGCTCCAGATGTCCCTAAATCTCTGACTGCAAGAAACTGGGTCTGGAGGACAGGGGATGGATCATTTAGTAGTTTTTCTGTTCTGTTTATTTCCTCTGAAGTAACTGGTACTGGGTACTCTCAGAAGGGATTATACCGGGCTAGATGAGCCATTGGTCTGATCCAATATGGCCACTCTTATGTTCTTATTTTCTCACTAGACGGGAATTGAAGTTTCTCAGAGGACTATTGCATGCTTTCCCATCAGTCAGAGATCATACTCCTGCCTGAAATCTCAACATAGTCCTCCTCAGATTGTTGGAGTCTCGGTTTGAACCTCTTTTGGAATGCTTCTTGCATCACTTCCCTCTGAAGATGGTCTGTCTAGTGACTATCACTTCAACCAGAAGAGTGAATGGGGTTCAGGTGTCTGTCAGAAGATCCCTATATATCATTTCATAGGGGTAACGTGATACTAAAGACTTTGCATGAAATCCATCCCCAGAGTGGTCTCGGAATTTAATCTAAACCAGTCAACCAATCCTGTCTTCTTCCCAAAACCACACCCTGTACTGGAAGATAAGAAGTTGCATGCATACTAACTGTGTCCAGGACTTTATTACATTGACAGGACCAAACCATTCAGACTGTCTTCCTATCTATTTCTGGCTATAGCTTGGCACTCTAAAAGTCAGGCCATCTCTTCAGAAAATAACAAAATGGATAACAGAGTATTATTGTGTTGCCAGCTGGCTGGTGCACCTCTCCCACTGAACATTAAGGCCTATACCAACCAGATCTCGAGCAGCATCTTCCACTTACTTTAAGAATATGCCGATATCAGAAATCTACAAAGGAGCATTGCAAAGTAACCTATTGACCTCTTAAACATCACTCTTTGACTTAGTGGTCAAGTCTGAGGCCAAGTTTGGGAAAGCATATCTTCAATCACTGTTTGACTAATTTAGCTGAAACCCTTCTATCTCATGATCCTCAGGGGATACTGCTTACCAGTAACCTACAGTGGGATCCACACTGACACATACTCAAACTTTTACTTACCCTGTGGTAACTGGGTTCTTTCTTGTTAGTTGGACCCTGTGACCTGCCCTCTGTCCCTGCATTTTGGAGTTTTCAACTATCATAGACTTCAGAGTTGGGGGGAACCACGAGAAGGTCTCAGCTGCTCTGCCTTTAATTCCCTCACATTGGAGCATGAGGCAGCTCAGGGTACATGCAAGGCCCCGGTGGATATTGCTATTTTAAAGACACTGATCTCATGTGTATGAGGCACATGCATACCTACAATGGGATTCACACTGACTACAACATCTGAAGGAACCACACTTACTGTAGGGTAAGTAACTGTTCTTTCTGTGGAAATGGCACCTGTCCTTTAATATCTTTTTAGTTAGTGGGGGTAATATTTTTATGGATAGATA